AACAGTGGAAAAAAAAAAAAAAAAAAAAAAAAAAAAAAAAAAAAAAAACCCTCTCTCCATCTTCATTGGTGGTCACTGGCACTTTAAATCCCCCCCAAAACAATTTCACAACATTGGTGGTCAGTGACTCTTTAAACCCCACCACACCTTAAATCGCTTTTATTTCACTACAGCATGGAGAACCAAATGAATGGATTCATGAAATCCTCTTCCTGATTCAGAGCCAACTCATAGCTTGGAGTGTCTGGGTCTGATTCTGGACGGTTTGAATTCTAAAAAACATTGAACATTCTGTCCCCACACTATTTTTGTCTAAGAGCCAACCAACTCTTCACTTTTGCATGAGAGTCATGGGACTGATTAAGTTTTACTTCAGACCCCTTTGTCTCCACATCCTGTCGTCGTGGGACAAATCAGTTTAGTCTCTAGACAAACCGTTTCACCTGACACCAAAGATAAAGTTGTCTCCAGTCTGGTGGCTCTGGAAATCCGCTCTAGAATTGGGGAAATCCTTCCTTCTGATCTCTTGAAAGATCATCACAACAGATGCCAGCCTCACAGGCTGGGGAGCAGTCCTAGGTACACTAAGGATGCAGGGGACTTTGGGAGTCAAGGTTCCTCCAGTATCAATCAACAAACTGGAGCTTTGAGCAATTTAGTTGTCTCTACAATGCTGGACATTGACCTCCTGTTTGGACTATAAACACCTCTCCCTTTCTCACCCTTATATAGGGAGCAAGGGTTTTGTGGTTCAAAGAAAATAGTTTGCCGTAATGTTTGATATTTCAGTTCAGAACACAACATTATAAGGATACTGGATTTCTATACAGATCAACATTTTTCTGTACTTGCAAAAAAAAAAAACATTCCAAGCCTAAAATAAGAAAACTAGCACATCTAAGGACTGGTAAGCTCCAATATATTAAAAATGTTGTTCTTAAGTTTAGATTGGTTTAAGTGCATGCAAACTAGTAAGTAATGTAACCAAGTAATACTCACCCTGACAATGTCTTTACTGGTTTTCTTTCAAAAGGAATAGAGTTATCTCCATTTAGGCATATTCCAGGAATATGACTCACTAGTAAGTGAGCAAAGCCATGGTCACAATCACTTACATCCACCCTTTCAAGTCACATAATTTCCTTTTATTACTACATGTCAAACTTGGGACAAAATAAAGAATGCAAGAAAACAGAATTGTATATAGCATATTTGGAAGAAAGCAGGTATATAAATAAAATAAAAAAAAGGCAAAGCACCTATGGCAACCAATCACAATCAATATTGTAGGGCTTAGGCTTGTACTAAGATTGGTTATGTCTTAATCCTGTTTTAATGATTAAATATACTTTGGAAACATGGCAAAATTAATATGAACTAATTTATTAACAGCACAATAAAAAATAAAAAAAAATGGAGCTGCCTATAAAGAATGAGGCAACAGGTCTATAATCTTCTGGTGAAATCTGATTTCTTACTGCATGGTTCAACTTTATTTTTTTTATTAAACAAAGTTATACAAACAGACTACTTATTCAATAAAGCCAAATAACACACTACTAAAACACAATATAAATTAAAAAAAAAAAAACTTTAGAAAAGAGAAAAAAAATAAAAGTGTGTATACACTTGACAATATTTTGATCCACCAATGTAGTTATTTTTCTGTCTTGCATGTCTTTCTTCACTTCTCACACTTTTTGAAACTGTACCCAACATCTTCTTGCAATATGGATATATGGATGGTGTTTAGCACTTTATTTTGCAATACTTTTTGTGTACTCTCCATTTAAAAGTGGAACCAGTATACATAGTGGCAACTGCTACTGCTGGTTTTTTTTCTTCTACATATGGATGGAAAATATCATTGTGGTAGTTGCAGTTTGTCATATATTCATGCAACAGTTTATAAAAAAAAATTAAAATGCAAATTAACTTTAGTGCACAGAAACACAATATAATACCCTATTTATTGGTACAATATAAAAGAGGATGTTGCGTTGAGTAAATAGATATGAAATATGTCAAGCCTCCAAAATTGCGTGCACTCATGGGGAAAACAAAAACAAAACCACTTTGACACCCAAAATTGTCACCTTTAAAAGCTTCTACAAATTATCAATTTGGGATCAACTGATTATTGTCCCTAGACTAATTGCTCTCACTTTCAGTGTGCCTGCAGGTACCTAAAGTGTGGCACAATCTTCGTTTTCATACGTAGATGCATCAGTCAAACCTTATGGTTAATAAATAAGGGGTTACCTGGCCCACTATGTGATCGCAAATTGGATGTGAAAGGCTCTGTTTAAAAGGAGACATTAAAGGGTCTAATAAAAACTTTGGCTAATCAAGCACAGATTTAGCTGGATTAGCTACATCCCTAGCCACAGTGGCTGGGGAATGGCAGCACACTGAACTTGGAAGTGACAAAATCCTGGTCACTTCCGGGTTTATTGAATGGGGAGGGGATTTGCGAACGGACGTGTGGTTAGAATCTCTGTCGCAGTTTAAGGTGCACTAATACATTTACTGATGCTGTGTTTTATTATTAAATTACACCTATCCTTTAAAAGCAACTCAGCAATGGCAGCCTCTACATTCACTTTGCTCTGGTTGCACAAGTGGAGCAAAGCAACAGGTTCCCTTTATAAGAGAAGTAAAGCCAAACCTTTGTTTTGTTTTTTGGCTTTACTTCTCTTTTGGGTCACTAAAGTACATTTACTAATGTACTCCTGTGACCCAAAGTCAGCATACAGCAGGCTAATGCCCACTATCTACTGACAGCACAGAACTGCACTGCAGCCAGGAAGGATCCTGACAATATTCTTGGGATCCACCTGGTTGCCTGATTAGAGAGGCAGAGCCAGCTGTGCCCATCCCCTCCCCTGTCTGTCCCTCCAGTGAGCGCTGGGGGAACAGAGAGGGGAGGGGAAAATCCCTGTAGGGAGTGGTGACTGACCGTCACTGTTCTCTGCAGGGAGAAGAACACGAGCAGAGTGGTGATTGGTTACATGTTCGCTCACCTCCCGGTTTAGAGCCGGTCTGTGACAAATGCAGTGTCCCAAGCAAGCTCCAAGTATTGGGAATAGTATAAGCTACACATACTTTCCTTTTGCCCCTTCGTTGCTTTTTTCAGTCACGCAGAGCGGAAACCATAGGAAAGCAATAAGTCATGCTTTTGGCAGCCAGAGTGGCAGGCGAGAAAAGTAAAAGTCAGTATGTACTGCTGGTGGGGCTGTCATTAAAATTTACCTGTTGCTTGACTCTGCATGGGCAAAGCGACAGGTTTGCTACAAATCTTCCAAGCTATCGCTCCCTCCTTCAAAGATGTGTGGAGTCAACATTATGTCCAATAACATCAGCTGTACAAGATTTTTTTATACTTGGAATCTGGAATCTGCCCCCTGGACTTTAATCTTCTGAGTGCTTCTCTCATGTGACGCGGCTGTAGTGGAGGATTTTCTCCCCACTTTTCACAAACATCGAGAGCTGGGAAGATAAAAATAAATATGAATGTAACATGTGCAGACCCAAATGTATAAAATGAGCAAGAACACATTAGTTGTGTTACTATAGCTGAACAGACAGAAATAGAAAGAAAATGGAAGTGCATGGTCATGGACACACAATAACCAGTAAGTAGATCAGTTTTTCCAAATAATCAAGACTTGGCCAACAATTCAAGGCTCCACAAAATTGTGTCAGAATGCTGTTCCAATGAAAAAACATTTGATTCAATTTTTACATATGCAGCTTTTGAGGCCGTGCAAAGGTCTGAGATGAATGTCACTTTCAAATGGGAAAATGAGTGCTGCACTTGTGAATAGCCATACAACCAAAGTACCAAATATTATCTACTACTGATGACAAACTGTTAAAATAACTTGCATGAAAGTATAAGGCCTTGTTCACACACACACAGACGACAGTGTTTCAGTGTGGATTCAGCACGATTTTATGAGCATTCATGTAAGTGGGAAAATGTGCAACAACAATTGTAATGTGCGGTTTCAAATGTTTCCTATCGAGTTTATAGAGACAAACCGCGCTGATCTGGCCTAAGAAAAAGCTCATATACTTTCTCCAGCTATGGGCGATTTTCTACGTGTGACACTACACTCGGGTGTGAACCAGGGCTATAGAAATACATAGGATTTCTTGTTTTGAGCATTTCAGTGCGGGAAAAATACGTGCAACAAAGGCCTTGGTGTGAACGGGGCCTTAGATATATAATAAAAAGGCAACCTGTGGTTTTCTGTTAAAGATTACAAATTGTACCCAAAATAATAGAACACAGATCATTCCTCTCTAGTTCAATGGAAAACCCCTTGGCGATACGCTTTCTCACGGCATCAGTAAAAAGTATTCAGTCCTATATTATGGACTAAATCATGTATGTAGTTTTAGTTGGTTCTCTTAAATATATCACAATAAAAGAAAGCTTGCAGGCCTCAAATATATTTCATAAGAAGTTACACAGAAAACCCAGCAAGAAGAGGAAGCAAAAAATGAATACTTAATGACCTTCTCCCCTCCCCCACATGGCAGTACTCAGACCCGACAAGGGGCCACTGACGCCCAAATACTACAGGCTGGTCGCAGGTCACATCTGACCCTATACATGGGGTTTTTCTGAATGTTCCGACAGGCTAAAAGATCAGCAGGAGAGAGCATCAGTGGGTGGCACATTAAGAAAACCTGTCACTTTGTCCTCAATGGGTAAAATGACAGATTATCTTCAAATGGCTATACTAATTATAGAAAATTACAAGACAAGGTATAAATATGTCTGCAGATTCAAAGTCTGAGTAAAACAAAAATGTGGTTGAGCAACACAAAACCACAATGAATTGGCACACACACAAAGAATAGGGGCCTCCTCAAAATGTTCAAGTTGAAATGCATACACTAAAATATTAATCACAGTACATTATTTTACTTTTGGAGTCAGTCTCTGTTAAACACACGAGCTGCTAAATTGGCTACCACTCAGGGAAAGTCCAGTTCACTTTGATATCCTCCAAGTGCCACATATTGACACTGCAGTAATATTCAAGGTTTAAATAAAATTAAAAAAAAGTGGACAATATTAATTACCTTCTTCTACAACCTCTCCAACAAAAACCTTTGAAATACCAGACATGGCAATCACCACATTCTGTGACACAGAGCAGCCAGTAATTGACTGAATCAGCTGAAAATAAGAAAAAAAAGGATATTATAAATAGAAAGGTGCAGGATTTTGAGAGACTTAAACAAATATTCATTAAGGAAAAAAATAATAAAAATCACAGATCAGTATAACACTTAAGGGGCCATTTATAAATCTAGTCAACCATACAATGGGCAAAGGCCGCTTGCACGGCACTGCCAACATTACATGGAGCTGAGGAGCATAAGAAATTCCATAAACTGGTCGGAATATTTACAAATAGACCCCTTAGGGTCTTTTTAGCCAGGATTCACACATTCTTACAATTGCGTTCAATTGTTAAAATGTGTGAATTCTGGTTGAAAGGTTGTATGAAACATTTCTAAATAGACCCCTTCATCAGTTTGTTAAAACTTCTCTTTCTCAGTCTCCACCAAGTAAAAAAACATTGTCACGTTTTACAATATGTAATATACAGTATATTACAATATTGACCCAAAACGTAAGTTACATAAATTCAAAAACAGAAATACAAAATTGTTTATGTGCTAGACTTGGTGTAATGATACAAAAACAATTGTTCAGTATACATCCATAAACAAATGGCAGGCTGATCTGCCTGTGCCAGACATTCTACAGCCATTCCCTAGACTAGGACAGTTCGGCTGCCATCCTTATGTTAAGCATCCTACCAAACTGGGCAGGGGCCATTTGGGAGCAACTTCTGAATACAGCTAAGCTAATGTCAAACATATTGCTTAACATATTCATGCAGCTGTTACTGGACACATTTTTGGTCCTTTTCTTACCAATAAGTGCAGCAAGTCATTGCAACCAATAAAAATTCACCAACAGAAGTCGGATCAATACAATTTGGTTTCTAATTAATTGCTATGGTTTACTGCACTCAGTCACCACCACTTCTTTAAAGCAGGAAAGCAGGCCTCATCATTACCAAGACATTTGACTTTATAAAGCATAGTTCCTTATTCTTATAATATAATTAATATTTCTTACAGTAACCTCATCGAAACAGGATCCCTTTTACCAAGAGGTCACCTATGAAGCTAACGCTTCTCCATCCCCTAACCCCCCCCCCCCCCAGCCGCTGCAAGTATTCTGCACTTCTGGTTATATAGTATATTTGCTCCCCCTCCGGTCACTGTGGTTTCCCTCACCGGCTTTTTCAATACAGGGCCAGCTGGAAAGGTCAGTATATAATACACTTGATACGCAGACATTTGAAAAGTATATAAATGCTTCTTCTGCAGGTGACCTCTTAGCTAAAAGGTGACACTCTGGAGACAGGGTCACTCCAAGAATTATTACTGAAGGTTTCCACAGCTGGTACAACGTGTAACTTCAAATAAGGGTTCAAGCAAAGAACTTTAAATTCAAGTTATTATATCAACTCTAACATCATACCCGTTTAATAGCAGCTTTAGGGAATGCAGAGCGTCTGTACATCTCATAGCGATTTAGCTGTTCCTCTGAGAAGGAGGACACCAGAATTCTATATAGGAAACAACGTGACACATATTTAGGTATTACTGTAAGAAGTCTCAGAGAGTCAATTCAAACTATCCCCAATTACTTACTGCATCTTCTGTATCTCATCCTCATCCACTTTCTGCTTCTTTTCTCTTCGCTCCTTTACTTCTATTTTCATTTTTTTCTGGTTTAGTGCATCTTGTGTTTCTCCTTCTGCAGTGGCCACAGGACTTCCCTCTTTCACCTGAAAAATACCGTTTGGGATATTTAAAAAAATTAAAATAAACCAAAACATGGCAACAAATAAAAAGACCCCTTTTCAAAAGTCTACATACCCTTAGTTCTTAATACTGTGTATTGCCCCCTTTAGCATCAATGATATCGTGAAGTCTTTTGTAAGAGTTGTCTATGAGGCCCTGAATTCTTGCAGGTGGTATAGCTGCCCATTCGTCTTGGCAAAATGTCTCTAGGTCATGCAAAGTCTTTGGTCGTTTGGCATGAACCGCATGTTTGAGATTTCCCCAGAGTGGCTTGATGATATTAAAAAAGGAGAACTATGGGGTTAAGGCTTTTCCCCATAGTTCTCCTTAGGGTAACGGGAGGACACACACTAGCGTCCTCCCGTCACCCAAAGCTCAGTATACCACGAGCTATAGCTCGCAGTATACTGAGACGCCGCAGTCGGAATGGATCCCGACAATTATGTCTGGATCCACCCAGCTGCGTGACTGACAGCTGGCTCTGCCTATCTAGAGAAAGAGCCAGCTGTACCTGCCCCCTCCCCGTCCGTTCCGCCAGTCAGCGCTTGAGGAGCGGGGAATTCCTGCAGGGAGCCGTGAGTGACAGTCACGGCTCTCTGCACGGATAGATCGAGAAGCGAGCAATGCTATGTGTACGCTCACTTCCCAATCTACTGAGCTGACCTGTGACAGTCTCATTGTCACATGTCGGCTCAGATTATGAGGCTGAGTGAAAAATCACTCGCCTCATAATACTCCTTTAAGGTCAGGGGACTGTGATGGCCACTCCAGAACTCTCACCTTTTTCTGCTGTAACCACTGGAGGGTCAACTTGGCCTTGTGCTTAGGGTCATTGTCGAGCTGGAAAGTCCAAAAGCTTCCTACGCACAGCTTTCGTGCAGAAGAATGCAAATTGTCTGCCAGTATTTTCTGATAACATGCAGCATTCATCTTGTCATCAATTTTCACAAGATTTCCCGTGCCTTTTGGGGTCACACACCCCTAAAACATCAGTGAGCCACCACGCTTCACAGTGGGGATGGTATTCTTCTCACTATAGGCCAAGTTGACCCCTCTCCAAACATAGTGCTTATGGTTTGGACCATAAAGCTCTATTTTTAGTCTCGTCACTCCAAATTAGTGTGCCAGAAGCTGTGAGGCGTGTCAATTTGTTGGCAGGCATATTGTGAACTGGCTTTTTTGTGCCATTGGCGCAGTAAAAGCTTCTTTCTGCCAACTCAACAATGCAGCTCATTTTTCAAGTATCGTCGTATTGCGCTCCTTGAAACAACCACGCCGTCTTTTTCCAGAGCAGCCTGCATTTCTCCAGAGGTTACCTGTGGGTTTTTCTTTGTATCCCCAACAAGTCTTCGGGCAGTTGTGGCTGCAATCTTTCTTGGTCTGCCTGACCTTGGCTTGGTATCAAGAGATCCCCGAACTTTCCACTTTTTATTAAGTGTTTGAACAGTACTGACTGCCATTTTCAAAGCTTTGGATATCTTTGTATATCCCTTTCCATTGCCATCCCAGTTCCATTGCCTTGTTACGCACATCTGCTCCCAATGGCTCAGTATCTAGCCTGCTCAGTGCATCAATATGAGGGCTAACAAACTCATTGACTATTTATACAGACACCAAAAACCACAGATGTGGGAAATTAAAGGAGAACTATGAGGTGAGTGCTTTTCACTCACCTCATAGTTCTAGCTGACCTGTGACAATGAGACTGTCACAGGTCGGGTCTCTGCCGTGACAGGGGAGGGGCTGGATTCCCCGCTCTGCCAGCGCTGACTGGCGGAACGGATGGGGGAGGGGGCGGGTACAGCTGGCTCTGCCTTTAGATAGGCAGAACCAGCTGTCAGTCACGCAGCTGGGCGGATCCCGGCACCCGCTTCAGCGTCTCAGCGGCTGCTCGCGGTAGACTGCAAAGTCTCAGTATACCGCGAGCTACTGCTCGCAGTATACTGAGCCTAGGGTGACGGGAGGACGCCAGTTTGTGTCCTCCCGTTACCCTAAGGAGAACTATGGGGAAAAGACTTAACCCCATAGTTCTCCTTTAACCTCTAACTGCCATTTTAACCTGTGTGTGTCACCTTGTGTGTCTGTAACAAGGCCATACATTCCAGGGAATGTCAACTTTTGATCAGGGCCATTTGGGTGATTTTTATCATTATGATTTATATGATTCAAAAATGCCAAACAACTATGTGATAATAAATGGATTCGCATAATCACTATCCTTCACTAAAAGACAATTGTTTGGCACGGTCATATTTCTAATATCAATGACAAAATGTCACAATTTCTGCCAGGATAAGCAAACTTTTTAGCACAACTGTAGCTGTGGCCAGAAATAGTCCCAACACTGTCCCTGAACAAACACTATCTGCATCCAAGGTCAGTCAGAGACTCTATTCACGTGTATAAATCAAGTTTAAAATAAATAAATTATATATAAATATCCCAATGATATGTAAACCTAAGCCAGTGAAATACTATTGGATTGATTACATATGAAGAAGGGTATAATGATACATGGACATGCTACATGGATTTTCATTATGGTACTTGTATGTACTCTGGCTGTCAAAAAGGATGGTCCTTTGATTAGGTTTTAGGGCCCATTCACACCACATCCAGATCATCTCCAGACCAGACCGGATTGTTTCTGGACCCAAAATGCAACCTAATGTATCCTTATGCTATTTCTGGCCTCTGTTCACACCAGCGCAGTCCGTTCCAGACTAGACAAGAAAAATACTGCATATCTCATTTTTTCTGGTCTGGAATGCACTGGAACTGTGGGCAGGTTGACACCATTTTCCGTACCAGATGTGGTCCGGAAAATCGTGTGAACCTGCCCTGAATCTGTTTGCTGATCACGAATTTGTATATAATATGAATTGAATTAAAGGTTTATATATTATTATTTTTTTTTTACACTTGAGCAATGGTGTGTGCTTCTAGAAACCCATATTCTCTAATAGTGTGTATTATCATTTCAATGGACTTTTGTGAAGGAGCCAGGTGGAAAAAATAGTCAGCGAACCATCACTGTTGGTGTATTCTAACAGCTGACAATAGCCCGGCTGCGGAGATTCCCCCAGCCACACTGTTGTGTGGATGCGGGAATTGAGCATCCCCAGAAAGATTTACCAATGTATAGCCAGCTTAAGGCTCTGCTATAGGGATATGAATGAGGCTGCTTACAGGCAGGTAACCTAGTACGAATGTGTGCTTTGTATAGTCCAATTTCTAAATGTATTACTTTAGTCTAAATAACCAGTAAACATATATGAAGACACTTTGTCATTCTTTAAAATAGATTTTTCTAAACAACAATGTGAAATTGACTTGTGACAACTTGTTAGCAGGATAGCTTTCCCATGTTGCTGTGTAGCCCGTTTACCAAAGGAACTATAGAGGCTTTACTTGTTTCCTTCTACATGAGCAGGCTAATGTATACAACCATCTTTCCAATCTCTCCCCCTCACCTCGTGCTCCGCCTCAGCCACTTTCTCCAGCGGCTCTGTGGCTTCAACGGCAATCTTCTCCTCTTCATTTGAGGCTGACGGTTCAAGCACCTCCATGTTTGTTTCTGGAGCTCCCGTTGACTATGTGACGTCATAGGCAATGCGACTCGTTGGAAGGTATTAGAAGGCGGCGGCGTGATGACGTTGCCGAGGGGGTGTAAGGTTTTTTCAGTTTGCTCACTTTGCTGAGCTCTGTGTATGTAGAGGTTTCAATGGCGTGGTATTATTATTATTATAGGTACTTGTGAGGTTCTATGGGTTCCTTCTGAAGGCAGATATAATAATACTGAAAAGGGAATTTGTATCTTTAATGTTTTCCACAGCGTGAAGCACCATAAGCTCAGCTGTGACTGGCGGTTTCTAGCCACTAAACAACCCTTGTTATCAGTAGGGTGCATACATAGGGTGCCTTGTTCACAACACAACGCAAGCGTCATGTACGCTGCAAAAAAAAATGTAGACATGCTGCATGGGTTGCAGCGCAGATAACCTTGCTGTTGTGCGGGGACCTAAATTGAGTGTACACATTGTACACTTCGTATAAAGTTACAAGTATAGTAAACAGTGTGATGTGCTGTGCATCTCACCGCCTGGCCACCAGACTTGTCATAGCACTCTAGCCCACACACTAAGGGCTTGTTCACACAAACTGCGGTGTATTCCAGAGCGGCAGCTGCTGCAACGAACCGCAGTTGCTCACAAAACTTCCCACTGCATTCTGGGGCGGGAGGGGACGTGGCGGTGCATTTAGGTCAATGGCACCACAGCCAAGCCCCCCCCCCCGCCCGCAGTGTGATCAGATGCATGGCAAAACATTGCCTGCGTTCTGGTCCCCTGCAAATGCAAAAAATGCTGCTTGCTCTACTTTTTGCATTGGTAGTGGAACGGAACACAGTCAATGTTTTGCCACGCGTCCGATCGCACTGGGGTTTGGTGGCTGCGGTGCCATTGACCTAAATGCACCGTCACGCCTCAGAGGGAGGTTTTGTGAGCGATTGCAGTACGTTCTAGCAGCTACCACTCTGGAATACACCTCAATTGGTGTGAACAAGCCCTTAAACCCAGCGTTTTAACATGCAGGCTAGTGTGAATGAGCAGCATCTAAAGGGTTTGTTCACACAATGGGGGTGGAAATCTGCAGCATACCGTGTAAGTTTGCACCCATGACTTTGTGACATTTCAATAAAGTTAAAAAAGGTAAACAGTCCCTTGCCGAATGGCTTAGTTGGGCTTGGCAATATAAGACGTGTAAAAAAAACAACTTTATGAGGTGCCATTGGCAAAGTGAGTGTTAAGCTTCCCATACACCTATAGGTTATCTGCAGATTTTCTATGGTCAGATTGAAAAAGTGCAACAGTTTCTTCCATCTACACTAAACTGTGGATGGAGGTAGGGCTGCAACAACTAATCGATTATAATAGATTACGAGAATTGTTATCAACGATTGTCATTATCGATTAATTGATCGATTATTTGCTGCCGTTGCCGCTCTGCTCCTTCGTTCTCCCCGCTGGTACACAGACCATTGCAGCCGGCACCAGCGGGGAGAAGAGACTGCGGTGACTCTGCATTCCCCCGCTGCCCCTATCATACCTCCGCTGCTGCCCTGTTCCCTTCTCTGCTCCCATGTGCTCTCCTGCCAGTGTTCTACCAATTAGACTTGTGCGCCGTCAAAAAATTTGTTTTGTTTCGGAATATCCGTTATTTCGTAATTCGTGTCCGAAACTCAATTCGGATTCGTACGAAATACGAATTTTCGTTAGTTTCTTCAAATTTTCGTAACTTTACGAACATTCCTTATGGTGAAGTTAAAAAGCAAAAATATCTTTGTTAATATATTGGAGTCGATGGTAGTTTTTGTTTTTTTTATCCGAAATACGAAATTCCGTTAACAGATTTCGGATCCGAATTTCGTATTTCGGATAAAAAAAAAACTACCATCAACTCCAATATATTAACAAAGGTATTTTTGCTTTTTAACTTCATGTTAACGAACGAAAATACGTTAACGGAATTTCGTATTTCCTGCCTGTATTGTAATGTAACCCTCAGCAATCAGAAAACCTCTGATTGGTCAACCAAACGAAATATGAAATTCCGTTAACGGATTTCGGATCCTAATTTCGTATTTCGGATAAAAAAAAAACTACCATCAACTCCAATATATTAACAAAGGTATTTTTGCTTTTTAACTTCATGTTAACGAACGAAAATACGTTAACGGAATTTCGTATTTCGGATATAATTCGGAAACTGCAATTCGGATTTCGAATGCTTCCGAATTCACGAATTTCAGGAAATTCGTACGAATTTCGATTCGTAACGAAACGAATCGCACATTTCTACTATCAATCCCTCAGGCTCTAGTCCGAGGGATTTATAAAACACCGGCGTCAAGTCTCCCATCATCGGCTGGAAACAATAGCCAACAGCAAAAAGTTTCCCAGCACACTCACCAGCCAGCATGCAAAAAAAAACTTGTCTCACCGCTAAGGTTAAAAACAGGAGGTTTAGATACATGTTTTCTGCAGAAAATTTGAGTCCCGGCGGCAAAAGTCACCGGGAGTCTGTTTAAACAGCCCCGATGCTGGCGACGTACACTGTACGTCGTCAGTCACGAAGGGGTTAAAGGCACAGGAACGCACAAGGGACCCCGCATATCACAACGGCAGCCGAGACCCCCCATGCGTCACTGCACCAAATCAGTCAAGCAAAACAAATGGCAAACACACTCATCAATTTGTTACCAGCTTTACAGCAAGGTGCACATGGAAGGGCTTAATACAGTACAACAGCGTGGCTGTACGGCTTTCACATTTTCTGCAGAAGACGTGTATCTAAACCGCTGTTTTTAACCTTTGCGGTGAGACAAGTTTTTTTGCATGCTAGCTGGTGAGTGTGCTGGGAAACTTTTTGCTGTTGTACTGTATTAAGCCCTTCCATGTGCACCTTGCTGTAAAGCTGGTAACGAATTGATGAGTGCATTTGCCATTTGTTTTGCTGGAAACAATAGCCAACCTGCTATTGTATATTTTAAATTGCAGTAGCCAATAGCAGGCTGGCTATTGCACCCGACCACTGACTGCTGTCAATCAGCAGAGGAGGGCCTGATGGAGAGCTTGTGAGGCCCCCCCCCCCCCATGTGATAGCAATGAAGTAAAAAAAAAATTAAAAAAAATAAAAGTAAACATTAAAAATACCCCCAAATAAGTTTAAAGTGCCCCAACCCCGCAAACGCGTGCATACTAACAGAAACACAAGTCGGGTGCACCTACGTATGAAAACAACCATTGCACTAAGCATGTCAGGTATCGCCACATGTGCCGAGTGAGAGCAATAATTTTCCCGCCAATATTCATAGCTAACTCTGATGACCAAGCTTTTATTTATTTTAAATAAAAGTTTGGCTAATTTATTGTATTGGAGTCCTACAATTCATATTATTTTAAATCCATTAAACTCATTTAAATGGCTTACAGTATATAATGCATACAATTATTACAAAAATATATAAAACAAAGTTGGGAAAAGTAATTTTTGGTTTCGGCCTGACATTCTGCTGCAGGATGTGTGTTGTGGTGCCATTCGTTTTAATAGCACCCCAAACGCGCCTCCCGCCTGCAGTGTGATCACCCGCACTGGAACACATGGTACTGCAATGCCATGCATTCCAGTGCCGTGTGATTGCAAATAATGTGCATGCCGTTTTATTCTGAAGTAAACTTTGCTTATGACACTCCAATTTTATTTTAAATAAAACATGGCATTTATTTATTTGTTCTTTAACCGATTAATCAAAAAAAATAAATCGGCCAACTATTTGATTATGGAAATAATCATTAGTTGCAGCCCCAGATGGAGGAATCTCCCACTGGGCCAAGCTTCAGTATCTATTTTTAGAAATGTTTGTGAATTTATTAGAAAGAAAAAAATGAAATATGACATGTACTTAAAGGGTTATTAAAGCCTCCCCTTTTTTTGCATATATCTACTGCTAGCAAGCAGTAGATATATGCAAAAACATTTAAAAAAAAAAAACTTTTTCAAAGGGTTAAAACTTACCTGCGTCTCCGCCACACGTTCCCAATCCGAACATCTGAAAATTCTCGGGTGGCCGCAAAGGATCATGGGGCGGGCGCATGTGCAGTTCAGATCTTGGTCCGGGAGACAAGGAGAGACACAAGGTAAGTAAATGTAAATTTAGCCTTTAATGTCACTAAGTATTCAGACCTTTTACTCAGTACTTTCTTGAAGCACTTTTGGCAGTAATTACAGCCTTGAGTCCTTTTGGGTATGACGCAACAAGCTTTGCACACCGGGATTGGGGGATTTTCTGCCATTTATCTTTGCAAATCCTCTCAAGCTCAGTCAGGTTGGATGGGGACCTTCGGTAGACAGTTATTTTCAGGTCTCTTCAGAGATGTTCAATAGGGTTCAAGTCAAAGCTCTGGCTGGGCCACTCTAGGACATTCACAGAGATGCCCCTAAGTCACTCCTGTGTTGTCTTGGCAGTGTACTTAGGATCGTTGTCATGTTGGAAGGTGAACCTTTGGCCCAGTCTGAGGTCCCGAGTGCTGTGGAGCAGGTTTTCATTGAGGATATCTCTGTACTTTACTCCATTCAGCTTTCCCTCAACCCTGACCAGTCTCCCAGTCCCTGCTGCTGATACTGTTGGGATGGTATTGGGCAGGTGATGAGCAGTGCCTGGTTTACTCCAGACATAATGTTTATAATTGAGTCCAAACAGTTTAATATTGTTTCATCAGATCAAAGAATCTTATTCCTCACAGTCTGAGAGTCCACGTGCTTTTTTGCACACTCCAAAGCATGATTTTAGATGTTTTGCACTGAGGAGAGTCTTCCATCTAACCACTGTGCCATAAAGGTCAGATCGGTGGAGGGCTGCAGTGATGGTTGTCCTTCTAGAACTTTGTCCCATCTCCACACAGCATCTCTGGAGCTCAGTCAGAGTGACCATTGGGTTCTTGGTCACCTCTCTAAGGCACTTCTCCCCTGATTGCTCAATTTGGCCAGGCGACCAGCTCTTGGAAGAGTC